GGAGGAGGAGGAGGAGGAGGAGGAGGAGGAGGAGAAGATATACCACTCTCTCTCTCTCTCTCTCTCTTTTCCGAAACAACCCCGTTTCGCGCGCGCGCGTCTGCTCGATAACGACGCGAACGTGTATCCCAGGATTTTAACCCCTAAAACGCCGACCCTCGGCTTCTTCCTCCGCCAATATCCGCGCCGGCTACGAGTATGCCGGTGCTCGAGGAAAATACGAGGAAATTCCAGCGGCCCAATAAGGCTCTCTCTTCTCTGGGCCATTCTCGTCTCCGCTATTTGGCGAGACCATGAAGCGAGCGGTGAAACCGCTCGTTCGCCGCAATGTGGATGGCCGACGTTACTCGAAGACATCGTTCCCCGAACGAGAACGGAGCGATGCTCTCGCGGGGGAGATTCACGCCGCGTCCGCGACGTACGGTAGTATATCCCCAACCAGGGGAATTTGTTCTAGCGACAGACGAGAGTTCGTCCGATCGCGGGGAAGGAGAATTACGGAGGATTGGAACGTCGCGAATCGCTCGTCCGAGCTTAGCTCGGACTCTTCCGCTCGAAATTAAGGTTCCGTTGAACGACGTTCTTATTTTAAGTCGACCTATGCCAGAGTATATCGCGGATATCGAAATTCCGTCCCTTTTTCCCTCCTTTCCCTCTTTCGTCTCTCTCGTGTTCTCCTCTCGCGCGCTGCTGCGGTGCGCCGGTAAAAATATTTTATTTCCACAGTGGTTAATGTCGCGAGAGACAGAGAGAAGAGGCAATTTATGGGTGGTCCGTGCGCGCGCGCGGAACATAAACGGCTCGTGTAATTCTTATCGTAGGACGGGTAACGGGAGGAAAAAGATATCGTTAGGATATTTCCTACGAGACCGAAGTGTACCGACCGAAGTATGAGGAGGACGGTGGAGAAGGAGAAGGAGGAGGAAGAAGAGGAGAGAACGGCGAGGGGAAAGAGGAGACTGGGGAAATCGAGCGAGGGCAAACTATGAACTCGGCTTCTCGAGGACAAAGCTTTTCCTTCAGGATTTTCTACGTTTTCTCCCCGTTCCAGCCGGCCTTTCTTTTTCCCCGTTCTACTCCTCGTCTGCCGTCTCGGAAATCCTTGAGAAGTCTAGCTACTCTCGCGGTCCCCCGACCCTGTCTCCTTCTGCTTCCCTCCCTCCCTTCCTCTTTCTCTCTCTCTCTCTCTCGCACTTTTTTCTCTCTGCCTGCCTTTTATCTTCTCCTTGCCGTGGAAAAGATTCCGTCGACATGCCACCGACTCCATTCGCTTCGACGCTGCAATAATAATGAAAAACATTCATAGCCTTCCGTTTCCTCGGTGGTAACAGCTAGATTTCCGTCGACTTGGCGTGCGTGACGTTTAAAACATTGCTCGCGGAATCGGCAGGGCCATCGCGACGAGTCCATGCCTTTACGCATAGAGTCATGATGTTAGCTTAACAATTAGATCGCGATTGTCGTTAGCGTTACAACAACGATGATTCCTACGCAGTAATGAATAGTAATAACGCGAAATTTTTACGGTCTGTTGCAGGTCTCAATCCAGCCGAGGAGAGGCATGTGAGTATCAATTAAGTATCTAGCGATTTCTCATTTAGCTCGTCGTGAACGAGAGGGTGGGAACCCTCTCACCCATATGGCGTATTCCCCCACTCCCCGGGCGCGTAAAATTCCACCTCATAAAGGGGATTAGACCGCCGATTACGCGCGATGTATTATTGGACGATAGCGGAGGTGGACAAGCCGAATCGAGAGGGGGAATTAGCGCGATAGACGATAGCGGCTGTGAAAAAGAGAAGGAAGTGTGCTGCGAGGGGATGTGCGGGGAGGATGGAAGGCAGAGATGGCGACGAAGGTGGAGGAAGCGCGGAATGGACGTAAAAGCCTGAACACCGGAACACAGGGCCGTAAAAAGCTCGTCGTCAAAAGCATCCCCTTCCGCTTTCATCGACCACCCGGTGGCCTCTCTTTCTGTCCCGTCTCTCTCTTTCTCTCTGCGTCTCCTTCTTTTTCTCTTCGTTTCTCTCTCTCTCTCTCTCTCTCTAGTTTCTGGTCTCTCTATTTCTCTGCTTTCCTCTCCTTCTTCGATAACATAAAGCGCCCGCTGGTTGTGGCGCGCGCGTTTATTAAAAGCGCTCCGGAGAGGAAAAAAGCCTCGAGAGCGCTCGAGGGCACCGCCGTTCGCGCTCTCTCCGCCTCCAGGTTTCGAGTGTCCTGCGAGATCGTCCTGCGATCGATTGCTTCGCGCGCAAAAGGCTCGCGCGACGAAGGAGAATCGATGCGCCGGGGCTTCGGAACTTCACTCTCTGGTCCCTCTCCCTCGTCTCTCTCTCTCTCTCTCTCTCTCTCTCTCTCTCTCTCTCTCTCTCTCTTCTCTTTTTTTCCTAGGATCGATGAATATCGATGAGCGCAGTTAGCTGGGCGTCGATTAAACGGTTCCGAGCGTCGTAACAGCGTTTCCGCATTAATCGGCGATGCCGAAACGAATGGGCGATTAAGCCCGTGCGCGCGCTCGTTGAAAAATTCGCGAACCACTTCGGGAATCGCGAAAAACAGTTGAATATTTGATTTTCGAGTATTTTCGCGCCCGGTCGGGCGACGATTTTTTGGTTATTGATCCTCTTCCGGTCGTGCTGAAATTTACTGAGAGAGATGGAGAGAGAGGGGGAGAGACACAGACAGATAGACAGACAGAGAGAGACAGAGGGGGAGCCGAGGCTGTAACTCGTTCGATTCGCCGATGGCGCCCGCGGCACGCTGCCAGCCCGATAATTAGCGCCCGTTTAATATGCACAATTATTACGGATTGATAATCGGGGCTGCGCGTCCATTACATCGGTATGGAGATAGATGGTAATAGGTTGCCATCGATATTAGCTCTCCTCTTTCGCCCGTACGTCCTCCGCCGCTCCCGTTCCCCACCTCCCACCGCCCCCTCTGGCTGTTCCCTGTGAATTCTCTTCCGTTTATCTCCCCCGCCCGCCCGTCCGCCGTTCCGGGTACCTTGCACAGTTTCAAACTGCGACCCTGAGGGCTGTGAAATTGAAATATGAATGCTAATGGGGTTACTCGCCCCGCGTCGTATAATATTACCGATTGTTGGCCAGATAAGTCCTTTTGCTCCTCGTTGCGTACATATTTTTCGTTCGCTCTCTTCCACACCGCTTCGTCTATCGCGCAGGAACCTTTTAAAACAATCGACGACCCCGCGTTCACGTCGCGACCCATCAGTTTTCGTTTTCTCCCTTTTCCCCTCTTTTTTTATTCCTCTTTATTTAACGCGCGTTAATGGCTTAAGTGGTGATAAATTTGAAAAACCCGCCGCCGCTTGAGAATCCGTCGTCGTCCCTCTTTCTCTTTCTTGTATCTTTTCTTTTTTCTCGGCCGAATCCTTTATCCTGTCAAGACGTTTCACATGTACAGGGTGTGTGGATTTAGGTGTACGGGCGCGCGTGTGCAGGAAGAACTCGTTAAACTGAGTACAAAAATCCATTATCATTTTGTAAACTACTATGATAATTATCGAGATAATTAACGAAAAAAGTAAAACTTTGTAGGCAGTCTGAACATATTTGAACCAGAATAAAGTTTCCATTATTATAAGTTTTTGCTTTGCTTTTAGGTTGCACATTATACTCGTTAAAAGCAAAACTGATGCTTCGCATTACAATTTCAAGCCGATTTCTCACTGGTTTTTAACATAGATTAATATCTATTTCAACACAGAAACCGATATCTTTCGTAATTGGATAATTATTATTTGATCTATCTCACAGAAGCAGGCTATTTGATCCTTATCTCACAGAAAGACGATTTCATGTTCATCAGAAGCGCGATAATTTTCCCTTTTCAACGGTTTTTGTTGCAAGTCATTACGACATCTACAAGTGGCGTTATTGATGTATCGATACGTACTGTGTCGATCGACATGCAGCGAAAATGCCTCGTTATCCCCACTCCGTGACTCAGATCAAGGTAGTCGTCTCAGCCACGTGCTCGTTGAGATCACGTGATTGTTCAGGACATATAGAATAGCGTGAAAACATAGTGCGCCGACGCAACGGTAGATAGCACGTTTGGTTCGGCGCTGAGCTGAAGCTTGATGTCGACGTCGCAACTTTAAACTTGCGATAACTTGTGACTGTGCCGACGTAGCGACATGAAATAAAAAGCAATTTCTTTAGAACACATGTTTGCACACGTTTATGTTGCTCTTTCATAGCTTATTCAAATTAAAATACGGCTACGTGCTTATACGAGCGGCATGCAACTTCTTTCATTCGTAATTGAATTATTCGGATTTCTTCCTTCATCTCGTCTATCGTAACAGTGTTGCGAGATTAATAAATCTGTTATTATAAATCGCGAAATAAGGCAATAATTGCCATGATTATTTGCAAAGTAGATAATACACATTTTTGTTCACTTTTATGATTTTTAACCGCACACACGAATGTTCAGACAACTAAAATCCGGACACTCTCTACACCCCGTATTGATCGACGGTCCGATCTCGGTGAGGCGGTCTATCATTTTCTTTTTTAACGGAAGGGAGTTCCGAGCCATCGAACAAATTGACGCCGTACTTACCGAGTTCCGAGGAGCGAAGAATTACGTTCCCATCGATCCGCTTTCTCGCGTCACTTTGAATTTATACCTTCTCCGCGAGCGCGCTCGCTCGCTCGCGCCCAGGCTGCACGATAAAACTTCTATTCCGCTCGGCGGCTCGTTACCCAACTGCATTTTCATGTTCCTCCTTGCTACCTCGCCCGCGTCCCTCACCCTCGCGCCCTCTTCCTCCCACGTGCAATCCGATCTAGTGATTGGATCGAACGGTGCTTGCGGAAAAGGGGCAAACCCACGCGAAAGACTGCTGCTAGAAGAGGGCAAAAAGGATCTCAAGAGAGTGGAAGAGAAGTAGGACGGCCGGAAGAGGAAGACGAAGACGATGGAAAAGGGGGAGGATATATGTACACGCGAAGAAAGAGGCGAGGCGTGGGAGGAGAGTTCGCGCCTCAAATCGAAAACCGACGACAGCCGGAGAGAATGCGAGTCGTTATTATTCGCGCACCAGTAAAGCCCTCTCCTTTCATTCTTGGGAGCTTTACCTTCCGCTTCCTAACGTACATCGTACTTTTCCCCTCCCTGCCAGTCTCTCATCCTCGAAACGCCGCTTCTCCGCTTTCAGGATTTCTCACGACCCGGGAAATATTTCTCTGTGCGTCGTGGAACGCCTCGGAGCTTTTCGAGGCTGCGGAAAAGAAGCCTCAGCGCGGTTATAGGCTGACATATACGTCGTCCTCGTCGTCGTACGAGCTCGAGAAAGAAGAAAAGCCGCGTCTATGCGAACTCCCCGTCAGCCCCTTCTTTTCCACTTACTCTATCATCTTTCCCTACCATCCCTTGACCGACGCGTCGGACTTATAATGAATTCATAAAATACCGTGAAGCGACTGCACCCTCGGCATAAAAAGAGGGAACGGCGAGTCAGAAAGGGGAGAGGACGAGAGAATGAGACCAAAAAAGCGACGCACGACTACGGAATATTTATTTATCGCGCTCTCTCTTTCTATTTTTTCTTCTCTCTCACTCTCTCTTTCTCTTTTACGCACCGGATACGCATGAAAGAGACTCCAGGGTTCTTGGCTCTCGTTATTACCTCCGCCACCCTCTCACATCTCCGTCACGCGAGCGCGCTGGGCTTAATTGAATCACGAGATGCATACTTTCGGCTCGTTTCAGCCTGCTAGCGATAAAATTGTCGCGTGGAAGCCATCGACGATCTCGATTCGCGACGAGACAGGAGTGGATGGATGGGATACTTGGCGCGCGACGGTCGTAACATTGACCCCCAAGTGCCCTGCTTCTCAACTTCTATCCTCATGAAATACGGCGAAAATTCGCGACGGGAATATAATGGTTTCGTTGCGCCTTGCGTTCTCCGCAAAACGCGTTCTGTTATTTCAGAGCGAGCGTGATGACGGCGATTCGGCACGAGCTTTCCCCGAGCGTTAATCGCAATCAAATATCGCCGCAGGGAAAAAATCGGCCATGCAATGCAACATCCTCGTAGCCCGCGGCCCCGCCGCCCGCCACTGCATCAACGACGCTGATATCTGTGAAAACAGGAGGCAATTTTAAACGTTTAATCGAAATCGATACCGTTATTTAGCGTGCGTGTATGTATGTATACAATAAGCTTTCGCGCCAGGCGAGAGATCGCACCGGGCGACGGCCGCGATGTCGCGACGAGTACAACGTCCCTCTTCCGCGGCGAGAGGAGGGTTGCAAAATCGGCCGCGAATCGAGACGCCGCGATATCGATTGTTCGCTCTCTCCCCCTTTCCCGTTCCCTCTCGCGGCTCCTCCTCCTCTTCCTCCTCGCCTTTTTCCTTGGTTCAGCCATTTTCCGGCAGTTCGTTCTCCATTGGTCGCGGAGCTCGCGGTCGCGCTACTCTTTTTCCAACTTTTACGCCACCCCCGGTCTCCCGCACCCCCTCGTCGGCCGCCCGGTCTCTTCCATCCTATCATCCCCTACCCGCCTTTTTAATCCCATCACA